TCCCTTCCCAAACCTTCTCTTTTCTCTTTTCTCTTTTCTCTTTTCTCTTTTCTCTTTTCTCTTTTCTCTTTTCTCTTTTCTCTTTTCTCTTTTCTTCTCTCTCTTTGTGCCTCTGGATCCCTGTAATGTTGAATATTGTCATTTCCTTGGTGTATTTTATTTTGCCTTCATGTTACAGCTAAAGAGAGGGTTTTCCTTCCCCACAGTGAGGCTGTTTTGATGGAAACAAGTCAGTTTTGGAATCAACACGTTTGTCTGAGCACAGGGATCAGCCTGAGCTGCTCTGAGCAGGTGTTAAGGAAAGGGGTGGGATCTGGTACATGGAGCTGTTGATGAGCTTTGAAGGTTAGGAGCAGGTTTAGATGCAACATGCTGAATGCTGAATGCTGCTGAATGCTCAGGCTTGGTATTAGTCACCCAAAGGAGACACAGAGAGTGATGAAAGTACTGAAGTGATTTTCAAAGGGGGGGGGAATGTAACAAAAAATAGAAATCATTGTGTAAGTTCATAATCAAGGATGAATTTTAAGAGGAATCATTAGAAGTAGGGAAGAAAATCATAGATGTGATTGAAGTTAAATGAGATTCCTGGGGAAAGTAGATCCCCTCACGAATCCCTGTCTGTGGGAGGGACCATGGGCAGCTGGTGCAGTGACAGAGCCAGCAGCTGAACCTGCTGATGCCATCAATTAAACGGTGCAATTAGCACGTCAGATCCACTTATCAGCTCGGGCCTGGTGTCCACTCTGTGCCTTTGGTAGCCAAGATAAAGCTCAGACACCATGAAATCAAACTGAGTGGAAAGGGGCACCTTTCCAACCGCTCCAGTTGCTGTTTGCCGGCGGATCCGGGGCCGTGGCACTGCCAGTCCTGTCACCACAGTGCCAGTGGGAGCCAGCTGAGCAGAGCAGCTGCTTCACACCCCCCCTGGGCTGGATACCTCCTCTGTCCTGCCCCCAGGCCCTGGGTGAGGAACCCAGCCAGGGCACATCTCCAGTGTGGGGCTGAGCCTGCCTGCCCTGAGCGCCCACACCGGGGTCACTTTGGTGTCACTGCAGCTGAGGTGGCTCTCAGCACACCCCCCACCACTGCCAACCCTCCCTGCAGCCTCCTGCAGCTTCCAGGGTGTGCAGCTGCTGTGGCTTCTCCCTGTGAGTCCTGTCCTTGGCTTCACCTGCTGCCAAACCCTCGTTATCTGTTGGCAGTGTGAGGGAATGAGGGCAGTGATGCCCTGGTGACACGAGTTGCCAGAGACTGTGGCATCTTCTCCACGGTGCTGCCTGTTTGCTCTTGATGCTCTGGTAGAGGTCAGTGCCAGGAGGACCTAATATTTCTTTTTTCAGTGCTTTCTCCAGCCCCTGGGCAGTGGAGGAGACACTGGGAAGGAGAAGGTGGGCAGCAGTCATGGATAGAAGTGTCAGTCAGCCCAAGGACTGCCTAGAGGTGGGGGAAATATCTTTAAGCTAGTCAGCAAATCTTCATGAAGAGATTTATTTGTTTTCCCCACTGGATTCCGTTTCCTGGGGGTCTCTGGGGCTTGTTATAAATGAGCAGCCTGTGCTCCAAGTCAGGATGGGGCATCTCCTTCTCCACGGTGCTGCCTGTTTGCTGTTGATGTCCTGGTAGAGGTCAGTGCCAGGAGGACCTAATATTTCTTTTTTCAGTGCCTTCTCCAGCCCCTGAGCAGTGGAAGAGACGCTGGGAAGGAGAAGGTGGGCAACAGTCACAGAGGTGTCAGTCAGCACACCCTTGGATGGGGGAAATATCTTTAAACTACTCATCCAATACTCATTAAGATATTTATTTTGTTTGTTTTCCCCATTGGATTCCATTTCCTGGGGGTCTCTGGGGCTTGTTATCCAACCTGTTCTCAAAGCCAGGCTCTGGGAATGAGGGGGGATTTACTGGAGTTTTCTCTCTGTCAGATATTTTGGGGCTGATGCTGCCAAAGTGCCTGAGTTAGGTGGGGTTGAATCTGTGGGTAGGAAGTGACAGTTGCTATTTCTTTTCATGAGCCAGCTGCTGGTTTTATCCTTTTTTGAGGGAAGCTGTCTGCAGAGTATTTAGTCTTTCTCCTAATCCTGCTGAAGGGATTGACTTGGTTCTTAGGAACTGATGGTTGGGGTAAGGTGTCCGATAAAATCACCGTTTCCACTGACTTTCTAGGACTAGAGTAAATAAAAAATGGCAAAGTTACATCAAAAATGCCTACAATTTATTTGCCAGTGATTCCTCCTGTAGCAGAAGCTGCCCTGGCTCCAGTGGGGAGATCCCCTGGGAAGTGTTAATGGCTCTGAGTGATTCATCTCTCTGCTGTCTCTGGGTGTTATCTGTGCAGGAGCACACACACTGAAGCTGCTGGGCTTGGGAGCAGCTCCTGTTCTCCCCTGCACATCCCATCCCATCCCTCGGGGGTGATTTACAGCCAGGGATGGCAGGAGACTGAGAGGACAATGTGCTCCATCCCCTGCAGATCAGCCTGTCTGGTTGCTGGGTTGCTCCTCTAAGTGGTGAAATGCACCCAAAACCTGTATTTTTGATCCTCTGGTTTTGGCTGGCTCTCAGGGCACCTCCTGGGTGTTGTTCCTCTGCCCCTTCCCTCCCTGGGGGAAGATGCAAAGCACCTCTGGCACCTGCTCATCTGAAATGAATCCACTGCAAGGCCACTAAGGCAGGAGGAGGGCAAGGTGGGGATGATCCTGAGGGACCAGGGTTGGCCTTTCCCCGCTCCAGCCCTCTGGATTTAGAGCTCAGGGGCTAAACCTGAAGGAGTTCCAAGGCATTTTCTTCAGTCATGGCTTCAATAAGAAGATTCCTTTCCTGGTATTCATCCAACAGCTGAGCCAGTGCACAGCAACCCTGAGCTCCCAGGTACTGGAAGGAATGGAGTGCTAATTATTTATGTTACCAGAACACTCAGGGAAGGAACTTTCCCTTCGTTCTTTGCTTTCTTTTACACCCAAAGGAATCAGCTGCTTTTATAATTTATTCCAGGCTTTGCTGGAATCGAAGTTATCAAGCATTTATCACACATCTGTCCCTGGGAAGGGGTGTCAGTCAGAGCTTGTTAGTGAAGGAGAGGCAGAGAAAACAGCATTTAACCAAGTGATGAATTTAAAAAGCAACATTTAACCAAGTTATGGGGACAGAGGAACGAGGTGCTGAGCACTCAGGGCTGGCAGGTTTGTGCCCAGGTCCTCCCCAGCAGCACATGAGCAGGAAAGGTTTGGTGCTGAGCCACCCTGCTCAGCAAAAAGGCAAATTACACAGAGGAACCTATTTAATGAGGTTTTGTTGCACTTAGACTTGAAGTATTGAAGGCATCATATCAAATCTCAGTGTTTCTGTACAACCCATTAAGAGACAGAGAGGGCTGCAGATCAAGCCATTTATTCTTTGTGAGGTTATCACCTAAAATCTTCTGGTTTAGCATTTTTTTTTTAACCTTCTCCAGCTGATTTCCTCTCCCAGCACTGTCTCACCCATCACCTCTGCTTTGTTCTCAGCTCTTGGCTGCTCAGCCAGGGAAGCTTGAGCAGGATTGTTGGGATGTGCCTTGTCAGCTGGCTCCTTTGATCTCCCTATTTCTCTTATTTTTAATGATAATTTCCCTCTTGTTCTGACCTAACTCTCAGTGGCTGCTGGCAGCTTTCAGTTGGAGCAGGGGGGAAAAAGCAAAACAGAAAGGTGGCACTTTGGCAAATACCATGAAGTTAATTAAGGTCTTTCCCTCACTGGGACACTTTTCCAGGCATGTCTGGGAGCGGTTTAAGGGACTGGACTGGTGAGCAGCAGTAAATTAGCTTTGATTTTGTAGGGAGAAAAGGCACCATCTCTGTCCTGGCACAGCTTCTGAGCCGCTCTGTTGTGCCCCAGCTGCTGCTGGTGGGTCCTTTGTAAGAGCCCAAGGGCTCCTGGGGTGGGTGCTGACGCTGCGACACTTTTAGAGACCTCAGGGCCTTCTCTGCCCCAGTTCCAGTGCTGGGGTGGCCTGTGTGGAGCCCCTGAGCCGGGGGGGTGAGCCCAGGGTGGGACAAGGCTGCAGCACCCAGCCCTGCCCTGGCAGCTCGGGCAGGAACACGCTGGGTGCCCCCCTGGGCTCCCTCAGCACCTCCCTCGGTCACCTGCAGGACTCAGATGTGGATGTTCAGAGCCAGAGCTGCCTCCTCAGCCCCTCCATCTCCTGTTTCTGCTGGAGTGAATCCAGAGGAGGCCACGGAGATGCTCCAAGGGCTGGAGCCCCTCTGCTCTGGAGCCAGGCTGGGAGAGCTGGGGGGGTTCCCCTGGAGAAGAGAAGGCTCCAGGGAGAGCTGAGAGCCCCTTGCAGGGCCTGAAGGGGCTCCAGGAGAGCTGGAGAGGGACTGGGGACAAGGGATGGAGGGACGGGACAAGGGGGAATGGCTTCCCACTGCCTGAGGGCAAGGAGAGATGGGATATTGGGAAGGAATTGTTGGCTGTGAGGGTGGGGAGGCCCTGGCACAGGTTGCCCAGAGAAGCTGTGGCTGCCCCTGGATCCCTGGAAGTGTCCAAGGCCAGGTTGGATGGGGCTTGGAGCAAGCTGGGCTGGTGGAAGGTGTCCCTGCCCTGTTCATTCACTGACAGCTGGAACAAGATGGACTTTAAGGTCCCTTCCAACCCAACCCATTCTGGGATTCTGTGATTTTTGCACCAGAATTGACCTTGTTTAGCACCCAGCTCTATTTTTCTTTTCCTTTTCCAGGCAAAATCTGACCAGGGCTGTTTTAGTTTCCTGGAGTGACTGAGCCCTGGGCAGAGGGAGCGGTGCCAGCCCAGCTCTGTGCTCGTGGCTGGTTTGGGTGATGTGCCTGTGGTGTGCCACAGTCCCTGGGCCAGCTCTCCAGCTCTGGGGCATGCTGGGCTGTGGGGTGCCCTGTGTAGGTTGGCTGGGGGCTGCCAGTGCCACTGAAGTGGGAATTAATGACTCTTTAGGGTTTGTTGGCTGGGGAAGGGGGTGTGAGTGTTCCCACAGTTTGGGCAGGGTGTTTTAACATCAAGCCTGTTAGGAAGAAAACTCTGCAATGAAGACTCAAACCATTGGAGGATTTACTGGCACAAGGGGGTAATTGCTGGTGTCTCCCGTTCCCTCCCAGTTTCTCTTTGAATTTAAAACAAACCCATAATTGTATCAAGCCCCCCTTCTCTCAGCCTGTACCACAAAGCAGGGCTCTGCCTGGTGACAGCACAAATCCATCTTGGCTCTCTGGGGACTGACTGTGCCATCAGGAGCAACATCCAAGGTGGATGTTGAAGATTGTCTCTTGACTTGCAGTGGTGTTCCCACACTGCACAGGTTTGTAAGTGAGCAATAAAGTGTGAGGATGGAGGGGAGGGAGAAGAGGACTGAAATCACTGGCATGGGTGCAGAAGATGGAATTAGAAGTCTCTGCATGGGATGGTTCTTAGTTTAAATTATCTCCTGTTGCTTGTGCTCAAACTGCATCCATGGAGCTGATGTAATGGGAATTTTAAGGTCGTGAAAATGTGGGAACAGGTGTCCTATGGAATAGATACTCGACTCCTCAGGTCCTGGCTGGCTTTTGCCTCTCGCCATCCAACATCTCAGCGTGTTTTTTTCCTGATCTCCAGCACCTCCTGCTGAGGGAGTCTGGCCCTTTCCGCCCAGCAATGCTGATCCTGCTCTTCCCTGGCCCTTGTTTGGCAGCAGGGCTAAGTCAGTCAGTAAGTCAAGGACAGGGATTTGATCTCCCTACACAGCCACATCCCCCTCCCCTGAGTTTGCAGGCATCCTGTAGAGCACAGAGCAGAATTATCCATCTTATTTTGAAAAAACTCTGCTTTTTCTTGTGATTTTTTTTTTTATGGTGGCTGATCACTGCTGAATGTTCAGCAGCCTGTTATCAAGGAACCAGGAGAAAGGGCTCCTGGGCAGGAGCAGATGAATCCTGGGTGCACCCTGTGGGTGCTCTGAGCATCTCTGTGCCCCAGCATGGGAGCTTAATATCCCTTGGGATTCACTGCCTGAGCCTGGCACCTCCTTCCAGCCCTTCCCACGGCATCTGGCAGTGCTGGAATCCCACTTTTCAGCCGGGTTTGTGAGTCCCTGTTGCTGCTGGGACTCTCAGGGAAGGGTTGGCCAAGCACCTGGGGATGGTCAGGGATGGGTGCCCACGGGCAGCACCTTCAGCTGAGGTGGGCACACAGGGGTGGCATTTTATCCCAGGGGGTTGGGGGCTTGCAGACCCCACTGGTGGACTGGGTGCTCACCCACTTCCACCTTGGCAAAACAACCTGGGGGCAGAGAGAGCAAAATAAAGGCAATTGCTCCTGAGGGCTGTAAATGGTGCAGAGGGTGGGGAGCTGGTGGGAGGGTTTGGTCTTTATTACCTGCCTTGTTTGCTTGTCTTAGAGAATTGTTTAAGTTGGAAAAGACCTGTAAGATCATCAAGTCCAAGCTTTAGGGGAGTGCTGCTTTAAATTAAGAATATTTTTGCTGAAGCATCATAGGAAGTGCTGCAGTAAGTAGTGAATGTGGCTTTGCTGGTGGGGCAGTGTCTCTTTTAGAGTCTTTGCTTAAGAAGCTTCCATCATTGTGGCTTGTGGACAATATTTCTTCCTTTGCTACACCCTCAAATGGTGAAGACATTTCCTTTTGAAGAGTCATTCTGGTTTGGGGGCTGTATTTCCTATCAGAGTTCATATCAGGATATCATATCAGAGTTCACGTCAGGATTTCATCTCAGAGTTCACACACTGTATTTCATATCAGTGTATCAGACTCGCACCCTGCTCTCTGAATATTCTCCTCAAAGAAGATGCTCTGAACAAAGATTCATTTTGCACACAGAGAGTAAACTGTACGACCAGAAACTACTTCAGGTATTGGGGAAACACCAGGCATCAGTACTTGAGAGATTTCTGAATTTATTACCGGGAGAAGCTCTGGCAGCTGATTTCTGGTGTAACCGAGGGGTTCATTTCCCTCTCTCCGTCTCCTTCTGGGAAAGGTGCAGTGTTTTCCTGCATCACAGCTCTTTAGTGACCAGATGATGTGTCAATGGCCACATAATCAGGCAGAGATTGGGGATTTTTTCATGGTCTGAGCAAGGCTCGGCAGCCCTGGAGGAGGGTGTTAGTTAATGCACACCATTTGCAATGTGACCACCGGTATAAAGTTTAAAGCATCTCGACTATTAACTGGTTTTACATGACACTAATCCCTGCTTTGGAAAGAGGAATTTGCATTTGAATCTCAATATTTGCCCTCTCTCCCTGTTTTTTTCAGGATTCTGGCGACTGCTGGCACCGATTTTGACCTGAGGACGCTTCGAGCTGTGCGAGTGCTGCGACCCCTGAAACTGGTGTCGGGAATCCCGAGTGAGTGTCAGGACAATGTCACCTCACAGCCTGAGGGGTTCTGGGGTTTTTGGGCTGTTACATGCTTTTCTGAGCAATATTTTCTCCCCCTCTGTCTTGGCTGGCTGTGGCTCCTGCCCTTGCCAAGGCTGGATTTCCTCTCACCCCACTCTGTGCTCAGCCAGCTCGTTTCAGCTCTGCCCTCCCAAATTTGCAGGTGAGGGGCAGGAATCTCTCCTGGGACCCCTCTGCCTTTGGGGGTGAATTAATTCTGTGGGGTGTGAAGACCTGAGACCCAAATTCTGCAGCTTTCAGGCCCCCAGCCCCGAGCTTGGGTGTTCTGATGGTTTTGATCAGATCTTGTGCTGGGGATATTTTCCTTTAAATAAGGGCAAGGAAAAATGAAGGGAAAGAGCAGGTGGGACTTGGCTTTTTCTACTCAATAGGCAACTTCCTATATTTTCTGTGTTAACTGAAGGGTGAATGCTCCAGTGAGGAGCTGCATCCTGCCTTGCTGATGCCCTGAATCCATCCCAGTCCTCACACCGTGCCTTCCTGCCTTTTTATTTGTCCCTGTCCCCTCTGCCTGCTGCAGTCAGCAGTGGGTTTCATTTCTGAAGGAGGAACAGAGAGGTTTGACCCTCCAGGGAACTGCAGCTCTGTGGGATGCTCTGGTCTTGCCTCCATTAACCCCTTGGCAGCCAGTCAGTCCCATCTCCTCCTGGGTCACCAGCTCTGCCACCTCCCTGGCTGCTTCAGGGCTGACACTTTGGTGCTGTGGACACCCAGCAAGAGGTGATGCTTTGTAATCATTGCACCAAAATTTCCTACCATTGGCATTTTTCATGGGCAGGAATTCAGGCTGAATTCCCACCCAGGAGGGGTCCTTGGCTGGGCTCGAGAAGGGTGACATTTGTTAACAGGATCTCTAAGAAGATGCTGCTGGCTGTTCTTTCATGGACTTCTTGCCTGTGCAAGGTGTGGTAATGACAGTCTAAGGGTGACAGAGGAGCGAGGTGGCCCCTCAGAGCTGCCCCCCCAGCAGGATTTGTTCTCCCCCGTGGTGATGTGTCCTGACCCAGCACAATATTTTCCCACAATATTTGCTCTCAGGTTTTTAGGGATGCTGTGAAAACTGTGGCTTTTTCACCCCCTGTAGCAGATGTACAAACCCTGAGGTGCAATCACACACAACCACATTTACACTTTCCTTCTACCCCTGCAGTATTTCTCCCATCCAACAGACCTTCATCCCTTTTTTTCCTGCATGTCCCCATATTGACCTCACCAGTGCTGTCCAAGGTGCCAAGACAAGGATGATCCTTCTTTCTCCTCCTCTTAGGACAGGCCACCAAGGCAGCTGCTGCTTATCACTGCAGGTTTTTTGTTGTGGGCATCTTTTTGCCATTATCTCTCCAGCCTCTCCCTTATCTCCCCCGGTTTTAATTGAAAATGAGTTTCAGTGCTGGTGCAAAAGCTTTGGATGGACAGCCCTGGAGACAGGGACTGTTCCTCCAGGAGCAGCATCGTGGCTGTTCTGTGTGCTGTGGAGGGAGAGGCAGCTCCTGGTCAGCCCAGCACCCCCTGGGACAGGGGAACCAGAGCCATGCCCAGCTCTGCTGCTGCAGGACCTGCCCCGAGGACCTGGCTCAGCTCCAGGCTCAGTGTCCGGCTCAGGAAAAACCCTTTTTGGGTCTCTGATGCTTAAGAACCCTTTGAATCTGTCACCTGAAGAAAAGACACCACAAAAAGATAACTCCTGGTTGTCTCTCCTGCTCTTGAGCTTGTCGTGGCAGTGGCATCATTTTTAGGACCCCCTGGGAAGAGCAGCATTGGTGGCACTGCCAATCCTAAATTTTCCCTCGGACAGCCCCTCTCTCCTGCCTTCCCCCCACCCCCAAGCCCTTGTTTTTTTTCCCCTTCCCTCCCTGACACATTCTCCTTGTCCCCCCAGGCCTGCAGGTTGTGCTCAAGTCCATCATGAAGGCCATGGTGCCCCTGCTGCAGATCGGGCTGCTCCTCTTCTTCGCCATCGTGATGTTTGCCATCATCGGGCTGGAGTTTTACATGGGCAAGTTCCACAAAACCTGCTTCTCCAACGAGACAGGTGAGCTTGGAGCTTCCCTCCCCTCTCATCAGGATGTCATCAGGATGTTCCTGGTCCCCTTCACCTCCTCAGGATCTTCCTATCCCGCTCTTATGTTGCTTTTCCTTCACCCTTTTCCACGTTCGCTGCGTTTTCTCTGCATTTTCTCCCTCTTTAACACCAACTCCAAGAGTTAACAGGATTTTGTGCTCATCCTACATTCATTAGGACAGATTCTCCTCTCTGTTACACCCCCACAGCACCCCTGGGCTGCTCTCAGTCTACACAAAAATCAGAAAAAGGTGCTTAGGGCCTCCTCTCATGGAAGAATTTTTTCACAGTAGAGATACAGGACCAAATTCCTGTTGTTTCAGTTTGTTGAAAAGTGGAGGGGTTTTATTTATTTTATTATAAAAGTGGGGTTCATAAATTATTTATTTTATTATAATTTTTTATTTTTTATTTTATTATTTTCATTTTTAATGTTATTATTATTTTATAAATTTTAATTTTATTATCTTTATTATCTTTATTTTTAATTTTATTGATTTATTATAAATTTTATTTTTAATTTTATTATTTTTATTTTTAATTTTATTATTTTATTATAAATTTTAATTTTATTATAAAATTTAATTTTAATTCTATTATTTTTATTATTTTATTATTTTTAATTATTTTTTATTATTTTATTATAGAATTTAATTTTAATTTTATTATTTTTATTATTTTAATTTTTAAATTTTATTATTTTATTATTTAATTATATATTTTTTTTTTTAATTATTTTTTCTTATTTAGTGGTGTCTGTTCACATTCTCATTGGGTTTAACTCAGCGAACGTTAAATTTCCTTGGAAGATTTCTGGGGAATTTGCATGGGTATGAGAAAACTTTGGTGGGAAATAGTAAAAGATTGGAAAGACTGGGAACAAATGAAAAATAAAAGGACAGTAGGTGGAAGGTAAGAAGTCCTTTGATGGAGAAAGGATAAAACTAACTTTCAGAGAAGGACAAGGGACATTGGGCACTGAAGAGCAAATGATGTGTCTGCCTGTGATGGAGTGAGAAACCCCAGGAGATGGAGGAGGAGAAGAAAGATTCCCAGAGTCCCTTGGCTGGGACCAGCTGCCAGGTCAAGTCATGGAATGGTTTGGGTTGGAAGGGACCTTAAAACTCATCCAGTTCCACCCCTGCCATGGGCAGGGACACCTTCCACTAGCCCAGG